CACTTCCCACTTTAATGGGCAGCAGGGTCTTGGGCAGAGATCATTCCTACCATCTGATCATTTTAATTGGAGATGCCCTGGGTGGAATCCAAAGCTCTTCTGCATGTAAAGTATGTATACTATTTAATATCTACATGCAACCACTGGGAGAGGTCATGAGGAGGTTTGGGCTGTGGAATCATCAGTATGCTGATGACACCCAGCTCTACCTCTCTTTCTCAACCAATCCAGGTGAGGCAGTGACTGTACTGAGCTGGTACCTGGCCAAGGTAATGGGCTGGATGAGGGCCAACAAACTGAATCTCAATCCAGACAAGATGAAGGTCCTGTTGGTGGGTGGATTGAGCTCCTGGGTAGGTGACTTGGACCTTGCCCTGAATGGGGTTGCACTCCCTCTAAAGGACAGGGTCCACAGCTTGGGAGTGCTCCTCAACCCAGAGCTATCACTGGAAGCTCAGGTGTCCGCAGTGGTGAGGAGCGCTTTCCTTCAGCTTCGGTTAATCCATCAGCTGCGTCCCTACCTGGAGGACGATTGCCTAGCAACAGTAACACATGCATTGGTTACTTCCTGGTTGGATTTCTATAACACGCTCTATGTGGGGCTGCCCTTGAAGACAGTCCGGATACTTCAGATGGTGCAAAATAGAGCAGCCAGGTTGCTGACGGGGACTGGGCATTATTCTCATATAACCCCAGTCCTCTATCAGCTTCACTGGCTTCCCATCGAAGTCCGGGCCCAATTCAAGGTGCTGGTGCTTACCTATAAAGCCCTTAATGGCTTGGGACCTGGATACCTGAAGGAATGCCTGCATCCATATTTGCCCTCCCGCCCCTTGAGATCGGCAGCAGAGGGCCTCCTCCGGGAACCCTCCATGAAAGATATTAGGAGGCAAAGTACCCAGAGGAGGGCTTTCTTTGTGGTGGCGCCCCGCCTATGGAATGCGTTCCCCAGAGAGATCTGCCTGGCACCATCACTATTTGTTTTTTGGTGCCAGGTTAAGACCTTTTTATTCCAACAATATTTTAATAACTTTTGATATTGGTTTATATATGTTTTTAACTGCAGCCAGGGTGGATCTGTAATTCATTTGTATTATTTTTATATTATTTATGTAAGCCATCCTGAGGCCTTCACGACAGGACGGCATATAAATATTCTAAATAAATAAATAAACAAACAAACGTAAAGCTGCCCCATCTTGGGGCAGAACTAGATTTCAACAGAAGTACAGTGCAACAGGAGTGCAGTGGAGATGGGAAGGAGGTATTATCCTTCCTCTTGGCTGACAGTCCTTTCCCTTGTGGTATAGTAACATGAATCTGGAGCATTTGGAGACCAAAGGAAGGTTGCAGGGAAAAACTAGCAGCTGAGAAGAGTGTTTGCATACCTTCCAAATAACTGATTTTGGTTGAAATTCTGGCTTCCACCCAATTCATGATCCTGGATCCAGGGATATGAAAATCTACTTCTGTCCTTAGTCATCTATCCTCTCTGATGATCTTCTGAGCATTGAGAAGCTGCTGATTCCTTTGTGGGTCATGCTTGTTATCCATAGCAGCGATTTTGGTTTATAAGAGCCATCTCAGGTGCTGAACTCTACCCCCCAGATAGGTTGGCCACTATGCCATGAAATGCCACAGACAGCTCTTAGAAAGCTAAAAATAAAAGCTGCAATGGATATTGAGCCCCTCTGACATAGGAGTCATCAGCATCCCCTCATTTCAGGCACAGTAAATTGAAAATCATGCCTCAGTTCAGCAAATCAGGACCTTCAAATTTCTATGGATTTGAGTATCTAGTCTAGGTTGCCTGGTGTTTCTACTTTCTGCCACCACTTACATTTTCCAGGCTATTGTCTTTTTCTGTGTTTCATCATCTTCATTGTGTGCGCCTTTGGGAATCACACAAGCAGTGGTCCAACTCAGCAGCAAAATAAGCTAGATGACTAGTCCCAGCTTTTGCACAATACCTCAAACAGCACCAAAAAGCCATAGCATAAAACAACAAGAATACTTCGCAGGAATTCCAGTAAAAACATGTTCAAATGTTTTCTCCCTCTATATTTCTTGCCATAGAAAAAATGGGCATTGCTCTAGTAACTTGTAGAATGAGAGTAAGAGAACAAGAGAGGGAGAAAGATGAAGACCCATACAGTCTTGCAGCCACTGTACGAATGTTACAAGTCCAAAGGAAAAAAGAATTCACAGCATGTTTCTTCAGTATGCATAGATTGCTTGCCACTGAATTAGGTTCTCTAGCTTAGCCCTGATGTACATTATTTTGCTGCTCTTTTTGCACGCGCACAAACATCTCCCCCATCCCAAGGTATAAAGACTCCCAGAAGCTTCCCATGGACACATGCCAACACAAAGACTGGGCCAGTGTCTGGTCAAGACTTGTTCAGGCTCACTCACCATTTAGAGGCCCCTCTGTCACCCCCACCTACCCCCTCACCAGCTTGCTTTCCTGCCCAGAAGAGGCAAGTATGTGAATGATGCCGGTGGTGAGATGAATGGGCAGTCACTGTTGCAACCTGCTTGTTCACTGGAGTTTCATCCTGCAAGAAAGCAGGTGAGGGCAGTGGCCAGGAGGAAGATGAGCTGAAGCAAGCGTTGAGGAGAAGAGGTCTTCATGAGGGGGAAGGCCTGCATGGAAATGGAGCCCTGCCAAGGACTCCCGCTGATGTCTAGCATGGAGGAAGTCAGGGACAGCACCCACCTCCCCTAACAGCTTCGCTACAGAAAGGGTTTAACCTGCTGCTGCATAGACGCTCCTTCTGCTTCTAGCCTTGTAGCAGAAAAATGCATCTTATACACAAGGCTTCTTCCAGGGGGTTTATTTCTTTGCCTTTCTATATATTCTATTAACCAATCACAAGATGTTACTGTGGCATGATATCAGCATAGCAGACTTTCATCTTCACATTAAGCATTGTTCTGCTTTGTTGCAATTTCTCAACCTGTTTTGGCTGTACAGATGTCATCATGAAATTGACATTACCCTGCTTCAGAACTGCAACACACAAAACACATCATAAAAGTGCCTTGAAATAATGAGATGCTAATTGTTTCAAATCCAGTGCTTTGGGGTCAAGCTACCAAGGTCTACCCAACAAACTTGTAGAAAGGATAGAAGATGTGATAGGGATGTTGGCTAACACAGGAAGCTGCCTTTTACTGAGTAATACCATTGGTCCATCAAGCTGGACATTGCTGACACTGACTTGCAGCTGCCCTTCAGTTTTTTAGACAAGAGCAATGATTTTGCAAGCCCTTCCTGGATACACTGGGAACTAGACCTGGGAGCTCCTGCCTGCAAAACTTGTGCTCTTCTCCTAAGCTTTGTCCCTTTGCCCAGTTGTTATGCATGCATGAGGCTCTTTCATATAATCTTTCTGGGTGTGTAAAAAGAAAAGCAGCTTCACTAATCAGCTTTCTGTATGCAAAACCCCAAATGAGATTCTCTTGCACTTGTGGAAATTAAAAAGTCATCCTGCATGAATGATTAAAGTGGATCTGTTGGTCTGCTTGCTTATGCACAAGCAAATTTAATGAATGGTAGGAAGGCACTTTCGGCTGTTGCTGCTTCTCCCTCAGTGAGTAGGAGCTGGAATGTTTGCCCACATGCTCAGTGGACAGAGTGGCTTTGTAATCACTTTGGCTGGCTGCATTATTTTCTGTCTCCACATTAAGAAGTCAGGACTTACCTATGTTACAGTGATCACCCATATACCCAGGTGGGCACAAGCAAGTAATGCTCCCATCATGTTCCTGGCAGGTTCCAGCTCCACATACCTTCTCTTCGCATGTCTTGGGCACAACTGTAACCATGAAATGGATCAGCTTTTAATTTGGCTGTGCGCCTTGTTGGACCACAACATTGAAATGCCTCTTGGGCCTCGCTGAGCACATTTCCTATTCCTGCAAGGGCAGAATTCCCTAATTCCCTAATTCGCAGCAAGGGATCTCTCCAGGTTTGCTGAGCTTATGAGTAAAAGATCCACAGGTCCCACAGTGGTCCAAAGACATACCTTCCACAGCCTCCATCACAGCCTTATTCCTAACTGACTGTCCCCAATAGCCTTTGGAGTGCATGAGAATGCTCAAAAGTTTGAAAAAGTTCAACATTCTAGGACAGAGTAAAGGGTCTGCCCCTCGCTGGATCCAGCCCCACTTTCTTCTACTGACCCCCACTCCCATTCTCAATCACTAATCATTTTATATTTTCCCAGCTCTTTGGCTGTCCCTCTCCCCTCCACCCACAAGTTACTAGAAGAAAGAGCTTTAAGTTACAATAGGCTGGTATTGTGGGTGTCCAGGAGGTTTGGCCCTGGCCATCACCTCCTGGAATGCAGCCCCTGAGAGCTTTTCCAAAATGGAATTTAGCTCTTGAGTGGAAAGAGGTTCTACACCAGTGTGCCAGGTCTATGGTTTATCAGTATTTACAAAGTTTAGACAGACACCCGCCTTGCTGACTATGGGTGTCAAGTCCTCAGGCAGGACTGAGTATAGGCTACATCCACTCCCCAATGCATGCACACACACTTGATCTTCAGGTTGTCATTCTACAGGCAAAAAAGGTGTGGCAGCATCTGTGACAACAGAACCTGTTGACAGGCCGCTACAGCGGGTGCTGGGACACCATTCTGCAAGCTCTTCTCACAATGGGAATAGTAATTGCTGGATTTACTTATAAACCTTCTTCAACAGAAGCTAATTAATGATGAAGGAATGAATTAATCAGGCCTTGTGGGTATGAAGGAAATATGACATTTTAAGTCAAGGAACTAGGTCTCTGAAACCATTACATCCGAAGGGTTGGTTTAGTAACCCAGCAGCCTCCATGTACAATATTTAAGTATTCAGCTGCAAGGTTAAGGTCTTTGTGAGAGCCTCTGTATGAAAGGCAGCATGGCAATAGACAGGTGCAGTGAATGCAAACATTCAAGCAACCAAGAATGTGAAGTGAATATCTACAATATATACAGTTATAACCATACCTTGTGTTATGGTCTCTGTCTCATCAGTCACCTCTGGTGGAACTTTAGGTGTGACATCAGTGGCAATAGCTGGCATTGGTGGAACTTCTGGAGTAGACACACCTTCTGTTTCCAGTCTTTGTATTACAGACGTGTAGGCATTTGTTTCAATGCTGGTTTCCTCCAGGTGCTTAGAGGGCTCAGTTAGCTCAGCCTCTGGATGATCAGTGGCAGGTTTCTCTGAGACATCTGGGACTGGTTGAGGGGGTGGCCCTGAACTGTCCCCATGGATCTGGCTTCTTTCTTCAAATGCTCCAGAAGGCAATCCGCTGGCAGAAGGTGCCTCGAGTGATGTAAAAGTTTCTGTACTTGTTTCATAAAGGGTTGATGTTTCTAGGCGGCTTTCTGGCAATGCCGAGGCTTCCCCACTCATTTCATGAATGGCAGATGCTTCTACACCAGTTTCATGAAATGGGAATGTTTTTCCACTAACATCATAGTATTCGGGTGATTTGATGGTACTTTCTGGATATGCAGAAGTCTCTCCACTAGTTGTGGAGGCTTCCCCACTTGATTCAGGAAGGTGTGGATGGGCCACCTCTGCTCCACCAGCCAATTCCTGTGAAAGCCCTGGGGTGGTCACAGCTTCTGCTAAATCAGTAGTGACTAAGGTGATTTCCGGAATTCCAGAAAAATCACCACTAGTACCAGCTACAGTTGAGGACTCTCCACTTAAGTCAGTGACACCAGCAATTTCACCACTGAAATACGGAATACCTGATGATGTGCCACTGATATCAATGCTCCCTGATGGTAATCCACCAGTTGTTGTCATGCCAGATGTTTCTCCAGAAGTCTCCCTCTCTCCTGAGATAAACCCACTAATTTCTAATGCACCAGAAGTCCCCTCTCCTAGTTCCTGGGCAACAGATGGCTGTGTTACAACTTCCACCAAAGCTGTATCCACAAGAGAGACAGTGGGAAACCCAGATGAGAGCCCACTATAATCATACATTCCAGATGGCAAACCACTGGTGAGACCAACACCAGAACTTTCTCCACTCAGTTCTGTTAGTCCACTTGGAAATCCACTGACTTCATGAGCTCCTGAAGTCCACTCACTGATGTCTATTTGTCCAGAAGTTTGTCCACTCACATCTATTGTTCCAGACACTGTTCCTGATAAATCATCTCCTGAAGGCAATCCACTCATTTCTACAAGCCCTTTTCCTTCTTCTTCTTTAGCCAAAGGTGTTGTCACTTCAAACAAACTAGTATCTATAAAAGTGACCCCTGAAGATTCACCACTTTCATCAGTAGCTGAAGTCTGGCCACTTAGGTCCACAAAGCCACTTATATCAGGTATTCCTGAAGGTGCTCCACTGATGTCAATTCCTGAGGATAACCCACTGATATCTGGTAGACCAGATGATTGTCCACTAATGTCAAATCCTGATGGTAATCCACTGATATCAGGTACCCCAGACAGCTCCCCACTGGTATCAAATCCTGAGGAAATCCCACTGATATCAGCTATTCCACTGGTGTCAACTCCTGAGGGCAACCCACTCACTATCCCACTAATGTCCCAGTCAGCAGAGGGCAAACCTGATAAGTCTCCATCTCCACTGATACCAATTGTTCCCTTTCCTTCGATTTCCCTTTCTGTTGCTGTGGTTACAACTTCCACCAAAGTGGCATTCACAAGAGATACAGTAGGGAATCCAGATGCAAGACCACTATAATCATACTCTCCAGATGGTAAACCACTGAAAAGTTGAACAGTAGAACCTTCTCCACTAAATCCAGAAGGCAGTCCACTAATTTCTTCAATGCCTTTGCCTTCTTGAAGTCCTGGCACTCGCTCTTGGACTCCTGAGCCAATCCCTGATAATTCTTCATCCCCAGAAGGTAAGATGCTGACTTCAATAATGCCAGAAGATAGGCCACTTATGTCTCCTGATGGTATCCCACTCTCTCCAGAAAGGACCCCACTGAAATCAGGGACTCCAGAAGGAAATCCACTTTCTTCAAATTCGGAGGGTTCTCCGCTAGGTACAATCATTCCACTTATATCTGGAATTCCAGATGTCCACCCAGAAGCAGATGTCTCTGTGATTGGAGCTTCTGTACTTCTTTCATCAGGTATCACATCAACTGGAAAAGGAACAGCTGATGGGCTCACTTAAACAAGTGTGGAAGACAGAGGGAAAGAAAGGAAGAGAAATGCTGGGTTAATAAAGTTTAGTCAGTTTCTCATAAGGAACATCAACTCGAGCTACTTCAAGACTTCACTCCCAGGAGTCCCAATAGCAGGAACTCAGCTCTTAGGACAAGAATACAGGAGGCAATTTGCCACACTGTGGGGTAATCCTGTTTCTGTTGCTAGCACCATTCCTAAAAGAAATACATGGGGAATCAGATGTTGGGTCATGATGCAGGACTGGTCCACCAATATATGGAAAATTGCTGTTTCAGAGAGACTAATTCACCATGGTAGATTTTTTAAACTAATTTGCTGTAAACCATCCTGAGACTTTTAAGTATGGAATGGTATAGAAAAGCATTAAGAATAAATAAACAAACAAACAAGATCACTTCATGGAAATTTGGTTTTCCTTCATTGTACTTCCCAACAAAGGGGATGTGACTTATAAGTCTGATGCCCCAAACAAAATTTTGGAGGGATCTAATTAAATGAAGTGGGGGTGTTTAAGAACATTCTGCTGTTATTGTAACTCAGACATAAATGGGAAACAGCTTTTTAAAAATGTTGTTGGACTGGCTGCCCTTTGTTTCCATGCACAATAGTTACAATATAATATGCTAATACTTCTGTTGCAGAACCTTTGAATTTGATTAGGCACAGAAATAGCCCTCCAATCCCAGAAGTGGGCAAATTGTGGCCTTCTGGATGTTGTTGAACTGCAGCTCCCATTGGCCCTAATGAACAAGCTGAAGATAAAGATAATGGGGTTGTAGTCTAACAGCATCTGAAGAGCCCCAAGTTTCCCTTCCCATACAAATCTGTACAATGTAGTGAAATGCAGTACAGACCCAGCTTAAGGAAGCACACTTTAAAAGATCTTAGCAGTTTTCCAGGGAGCTCTAGAATCACCAAGGCATCATAGGACTACAAGATGCTGTCTTCTACATGGGCAACTGCCATCTTATACTCCTTCCAGCATTCCTTCCAGGTTACTTTGGCATATCTGACTGGCAACGTCTCTCCTGAGTCTCAGGTAGACATCTTAGATATCTTTGCTACCTCAGGGATTCTTAGAGCAGCACTTAAAGTGGCCTTCAATGGTGTCCATGAAACGCTACACTCCCTGGCTCCCTCATTTTAAAAAATAAAACATTGTAAACCTTGAAAACTGTTAAGGAGAGAAAAAAGACTGTGATTTCTACCTGTGGACTTTCCCCTCCTTTCTACCCTCTAGCCTTCCCTGCTCTTCAGATGACCTTTGACTAACCAGGCAGCTGTGCAACTTCCATAGGAGCCATTTTATAATGGTACTCACAGCAGTTTCATGAATTCCAAACATTGGGAATTGCTTGAACATTGGTTACAGATGAGCCATATTCAGACATTTAAGTTGGGGGACATAAATGTTTTCTCACTACATCAGGCAGCCACACATGTTCTCTCTCTCTCTCTGTCACACACACACACCACAATTCTTTCACTAGTGCTTGCCTCTTAGAGGCAAATATTAGAGATAACAGAAGGAATTCCTTTGCTGCTTCTATTAAGAGCACTGTTGTGGGCTTTCTTGCAAGTGCCAGAGACATCTCAAGTAATCAGCACATGCACAGTGTGTGTGTGGCTATGTGTGCATTTGGCAGGCATTTCTAGGAATTTCCTGTACCACAGTATCAGATCACTTGCCACTCGGTATGCCTGCACCTGGAGCTGCCTGATGTTTGCAGGCTGGCAAAACTTAAGTTCCTCTCATTTGAATTGTCCTATGAACATTGGCTGCTCTGTGCATAAATCTCTATTCCAACATGATGCTGCCACACATGTGATACACATGGGCAGTAATCACACCTGAACGGAGCAACAGAGTTAAAACTTGGGGGCATGGCTTACCAGATAACAAGGATATATTTGTTGGAAATATTTCTGTTCCCCACTCAGTCTGATTTTCAGAATCAGTGGCAAACTCCATTTCTACAGTTGTTTCTTCTCCAGAAGGGACTTCCTCAACCCCAGGGACCAGCTGGGCTGCAATGAGGTCTTCTTCTATGTCCTCATATAAAGATGGTAGAGCTGGAAGATAAGAATCACTGTTGGGAAGGCCAAAGGTAGTGGTGCTTGGGGATTTGTTCAGTCCTCATTTCAAAGTGAACCAGCTTGACCTGCATGTCTTCCAGGAATGTGTGGAGCTTCATGAGGCTATCTTTGGATGCTACTCTCTGAATTTTTCTGCGCTCTCCTTGGGTCAAACATGTGCATGCAAATGCATAAACAAAATGCATTTAGAAAGCATTATTTTGTGTAGGGGAATGCTTTCAGATGCTTCCATTTAAATACAAATGTTCAAGGGGAATTTCTTTTTAAAAAATCATGATTACAGATCGATGGAGAAAGGAGATGGAACAATTTAGAATACATGCAGAATTAGTACAGACTAGAAATAGATCAATTCATTCTTCTACCCATCCATAATCCGAAAGACATTCTGTAAGATGTTCATTCCTTATTATATATGGCTTTTCTCATAGAATGATAAAGTTAGCAACAGTAACACTAATGCCAAACACTTCCTGCCATGTACATTATTTGATTACTTTATCTGACTGTGCCTGGGGAAAATTGCGGTCTTCTCAAGGCTATGCATACCTAGATCTTTCAAAGTTTCTAGTCTGATCACCTTTGTATCCCCTTCTCTGAACTCGTTCTGATGTGACTGAACCTTTCCTAAGAGTGGTGTTTGGAACTGAACAGTGCATTCAAGGTGAGGTCTCAGACTGAGGGCCAATTGGTTCCATAGCACTGCCCATTTCTGTACTCTGGGCTACATGAGTGAACTCTCACCTGGTGAACAGATATACCCTTTCCTTTGTCCAACAGCACTCCTCCAAAACTGCCCTGGTTTTTTTTCAATGCCTCTTATATAATCTTGCAATCATCTACCATGCCTCTCATGTTTTAATTTCTTTCCACTGTTTCATTATTTTAAAAGCATTCACATAGTCCTTCCCTTCCAGAACAATATGGATAAGGATGGATTGGTCTGCCTCTCGTCCGGACCAGTTCTGCCTGCATTCAGTCATATATCCAGTCTATCTCAGTGTTCATTGCAAAGCACCCATGTACTCATACATGTGCAGTTAGGTTTTATGCATTTTTGAACACATGTCCCCCAGCAGCTGGATTCATAACACATTTTCCCCTGAAATATGGATTTTGGTGTACTGTTGTGAACCTAGCACTCAAAGGAAGAAATCTAGCAAGACTAGGAAGAGGAGACAATCCTGTGGATATTGGTATTTTGATCTCCATATTAGCCCAAATGCAAATTAAGTCAGATCACTTAAAAACATGGATTGAACATCATTTTCCAGACCCCTTGAAATACATGGGCTTTCAGTTCGTCATGCCCAGTGCAAGTCCCATTGATCTAAGTGATTAAATATGATCGATCCCAGATTGGACCCCTTATCTGGTATGATCCTATGCCCCCAAAGCTGGAAAAACCTATAATAAGGAAAAGTGCAGTACCTCTAAAACAAAAGGCATGGTACTTGGATTGCGGGTCAGGGAATCCTGTCTGATTTGGGTACAAGTAGTTGGTTCTCACACCAGGCTTCTCGCCCCCACATGCAGGGCGTGGGTTGACTATGGGATACCGGATACTGCCATCAGCCAGCCAGCCAGCACGGCAGTCGTCCAGGCCCAGTCTCCAGGCAGCATAGAGTTGTCCAGTGGAAGCCAGAGTGGCATTCTGGCTCTCACAGTATTCTCGGGCTTCTAGCAGGGTGAACTGTTCTGGCTGTGTTGCAAAGAAGACCTCGCCTAGGGATGAAATAGCTCAATGTGAGTTCTTGGATCAGATACAGTTCATTTCCCATGAATTTGCCTGGTGCATGCAAACGTATGGTCCAAACCAGGCTGCCCAGCTGGCTCCCAAAAGGCCACGCCCACTTTCCTGGCCCGACTCTTTCCCCAAACCACCCATCCTTTGGTGAGTTTACAACTCTCGTACATCTTGGCTCCTGCCCTTTCTCTGCCTTTGGCCCTTCCCAGCACTGAGTTGTGGCTCCCAAGTCCTTGGGCTGCAGAAGGTTCTGTATCCCCATTCTGCAAGAAAATTTACCATTCAGTCTGTCGATATAGCAGTATACATCATACATCTCTGATGCTGGCCGCATCCCATAGGTTCGCACCCCTGGGAGATCATCCTTGTCTCCTTCACATTTGCTCCGTGGAACTACAATGGGGTACCTGGCCAACATGGACAAAGGAGGGTCAGGCTCAAAGCTTTTCTCATTACTCATTTTCTATTCATTTTACAGTCTAACATACCACATGATGACACCGGCAATAACAGTTGTCCCTCAGTTAAAATAAATCTTATTGTATTAGTTCTTTGAGGTTCAATTTCATTCATGACTTAAATCTGTACCTCAAGAAAACAGCATACACTTTGGCAGCCTGCTATTTGCACCCAGAGGAGCTTGCCCAAGTTCTGATATCAGCTTCAGCTACACTGAATCCAGATCAAGCCATAAATGCAATCAGGTTGGCAGCTATATTGGATAGAGGCTTTTCAGTGATGGCTTCCTGTTTATGGAACTCCTTTCTGAGAAAGATGGGGGCGGGGGTCTTGCTTTTCTTTCAACAGGCTCTGAAATCATTTTGTTCCAGTCCAATTTTGTTTTGCAGAATTATTCTTGAAATGGTTTTGGATTTTCAATAATTTAGATTGTAAGGTACTGATTAGGTTCATGTTCTGTTGACACTGCTCTTACATTGTGAGGGATCATTTTAATTGGTATATTATTTTAGTGTGGGAGGTTGGATTTTGCTATGGATTGAGCTTTGTGAGCTAAGTGAATGAAGTAATTAACTGAATTATGAATGAAGTAATTCAATGGGGTTTTTTTTTACTAAATATAGATGGATTAATTAGTAGGGCAATGTCTCTTCAGCTTCTTCAGTTGCAGTTTTCAGAATGCAGGACACTCCTGTGGACGGGCAACTCTAGCGTAAACTTCCTGCTGGGGAAGCTTGGAGTGGCTGAGACCAGCTCCCAGGCAGGCACAAAGCAGCACCGCGGCTCCCAAGGCCCCGCAGGGCATGTCCCTAGAGGTTTTGCGTATCCACCCAAGAATGTCAGAACTCATCCCTCAGGGAAAGGTATAATTCCTTGGGTACTCTTCTTGAAAAGGCAGGTGACCTGTATCTTGATGGTCCCACTCCAGTCTCAATTTCTGGGGACAAAAGTGGAGTGGCAATGGAGAATGGGTGGGTTGGGCAACGGTGAGGCGCCAGGTGCACCGATTTGGGGAAGGAATTGCTTTATGTTTAAAGGATTCCAAGCAGTGAACAGTAAAGAAGAAAGACTCAGAATGCTATGTATGTATAATCATGTCATTCCAGTAAGACTGTGCTTGATCTTTAAGGAAAAATTATCTTTAATTAAAAATGCACAGATGATGAAGGCAAAGCAATGTGGATTCCCATCTGCATCAGCAGCAAGAGATTCTATGAAGAGGGATCCTGTACACCAAAAGTTCTACATTGAGTAGACTCTAAATGTCCATGTAGAACCACCAGCAGTGCCTCAAGTGAGGAGCTCAATGCCTGGGCAGGCTGGCAGGGGAGAAGGCGCTCTTTCGGATAACCTGGTCTCTAGTTGTTTAGAGCTTCATGCACTGACACAGTAGAAAAGATTATCCCTGACCCCAGCAGTGAATAGGCTGCCAGTGCGTTTCCAGTAGCAAATGCAATGGCTCCTTGTGAGAGCATCTGAACCTTCATGTTCTGGGCTGTTCATTTACCTACAGTATTTGTATGCCACTCCCACCATCCCTGGAATGGTAAACAGTTAAAAAACCCCAAAACAGATAACAGAACAAAAACAGTAGATTAGAATTGAGGTGACATTAAAACTATGGCTGGTCAACAAGAGAGGTTTCTTGGAAAAAGGATGTCTTCAACAGGTGCCAAAAATAGGTTGATGCCTGCCTGACCTCCAGAGGCAGGGAGTTCCTCAGAGATGGGGCCACCATGCAGAAGGCTCTTTTGGTAGACTTCATTAGAGCATGGCACCATCAGGCAAATGCCCTTCAGTGACCTCAGTGACCAGGAGGGCTGTTCAAGGAGAAGGCACTCTTTCAGGGATCTTGGTCCCAGGTTGTACACAGCTTGGTACATCATTTCTAGATCCTGAAACTAAGCCAAGTGGCAAACCAGTAGCTGGTGCAGTTTCTGGAGCAAAGGGGCTGCATGCTGAAAATGGAGAACACCTGAGAAGCGCCAAGCTGCTGCCTGCTTCCAGAATAGCATCAAGGCCAGTAAAGTTTACTGCAATAATCTAGTCTTGAGGTGACTAGTACCTGTACCACAAACTACCTCTGTCCCGAGGAAGCTGAAAAGGGTAGAAGGAACTCAGTCCTGGCATTGCACTTACTGCATGTTGGCCACAAACTTCCCTTAAAAGGCAGAGGACTGGCTCCCCAATGGAAATACCTCAATGTTTTCCTTCTGAGCTGAGTCACCGCCTGTCCTTACCTGACCGTCTGGTCTCTCAGCCAGCCGGCATCACACTGATCATAGCCTTCCTCGTAGGCAGCCTGCAGTTGTTCAGGAGTGGCGATCACAGCGTTATTATCTAGGCAGGCTTGCTGAGCTTTGACAAAAGTCAGGGAATATCTATTGGTAGATGGTCGGTAATGAAAGACAACACCTGCTGAGAAAGAGAAAGGAACTGGAGGAGCATTTGAACATGAATACATCTGTGCTTGGTTATACTCAAGACATTGTAATTTAAAAAATCACTCCAGAAGTAGTACATTGAGTACCAGCGTTTGAGCAGTGCCCAGACAAAGAACCTGCGTCTGCCTCCCACTTAGGAGCTTGCCTTGGAGCAAGGGGCCTATTTACATGTCCCAACATGCCTTTGCCATAGTGCTGTGCTGAGGCATGATGCTCCCACAAGAGGCATCCTTTCAATTTCTTATGCTATCTTAGAGCAATTAGACAGCGAGAGAATCATGGGTTGTTTCTATTATTATCCATCACTACTGCCAGCACCACCTACAAATGTGGCAAGCTGGGATAAGCAGAAGCACAGGTGGGCCCCAGTGGGTCCCTGGCGTCCACTTGAGGATGTCTGGTGCTAGTTCCAGGCCCATGGGACAAATCATCCCACCACAATCATTTTACCAAGTATTCACACTGCTCTTCTGACAGATACTTTTTCCTCTTCTGCTAGCTCATATTGCCATTCGGCCTGCAGCACTGTAGTAAGCCATGTCGATTTTGTTTATGTATAGACTGACAGTGTACATCATGGATTCACTGACAACCACTAGTGCAACTGATACCACAACACAGAGAGCCAGTGTGATGCAGTGGTGAAGAGCGTGGGACTGGGACTCAGACGACCTGGGTTCTAGTCCCCGCTCAGCCATGGAGCCAACTGGGTGGCTTTGGGCCAGTCACAGACTCTCAGCCCAACCTACCTCACAGGGTTGTTGTTGTGGGGATAAGATGGAGGAGGAGAATGATGTAAGCTGCCTTGAGCCCTTTGTAGGAAAAAGGCAGGATATAAATTGAAAAATAAATAAAAATAAACAAACAGATAGGACAGAGTCAGCCTTCCCCAACCTGGTGCTGGGCCCTCCACATGGCTTGGGCTACAATTCCCAACATTCCTGACAATGGAGCATACTGACATCTCAAACATCTGGAGGGCTCAAAACTGAGGGAGTCCGGATTCAATGGCAGTATGGCCCATTGAAAATGAGTATTGAGAAAGAAGAATGCTGGGGAGAAGAGTTGTACAAAAAACTATTTTATATTTATATTTTTATATAAAAAATAGTTGTCGTAAAACTATTGTTTTTGCAAAAATATCAAAAACATGACAGAAATCAAAACTGTTATTTGACTCCTGAGAAAATTAATGCAATAAAGTTCAAGATGAACCTGACCTTTGAGAGTCATTCTTCAGTGCAGCAGGAAGACAAGAGTACCAGCTAAGTGGATGCATATTTGTGGGAAGAGTTCTGGGCTCTTTCATTTTGACAGGAGTCCAAGTAGTGGGAGGCTGGGGCCTGGAAAACTTGAATGGGAAAACCCCTCCTAGCCATTTCATACTATTGAATTCCTCTCTTCATGTGGACTATTTGGGTGGGTGATCCAGTTGGAAGACTGGCAGAGATACACTGCTGTGATTACAGCTGGTCTATTTAAGTGTGTCATCTAATGCTACCCCAAATTTTCACTTTAATGCCGAAGAACTTGTTGGATTTTTATGTATTTGTATGGATTTCTGAGGTTCTTGGTTTTATTGTTTTATATATATTTAACCCCCTTCATGGATCACTGCCTTGCCATGGCGAGGGGGCTTGTGTAGCATAATGAAGCGATGAGCTATGCTGTGCAGGGGCACCCAAGATGGACAGGTCATAGCAGAGAGCTATGACAAAAGATGATGCATTGGAGAAGGAAATGGCAACACACTCCAGTAAGCTGGATGTGGTCAAACATGAGATGACAAGACTGAACATCAACATCTTAGGAATCAGTGAACTAAAATGGACAGGAATGGGTGAATTTAACTCAGATAACGATCAGGTACACTACTGTGGGCAAGAATCCCTCAGAAGAAATGGAGTAGCCTTCATAGTCAATAAAAGAGTAGGAAAAGCAGTACTGGGATACAACCTCCAAAATGACAGAATGATCTCAGTTCGAATCCAAGGCAAACCATTCAACATCACT